GTGCGGGTGTGCGTGTGACCGCGTCCCACCCGCACCCACGGCCACGGCGCCCGCAGGACTCGCCCTTGCGCTCTGCCAGTCGCCTCTTCCTGCGGTTTGGGAGACGCTGCAAATAAAATGTGAAATACTGGGTTCCTTCAGGTGTTTTTCTAGCGGCCGGTGACTACCTTTCCTTTAGCCTTAGGGGTCAGGTGTTGTCTTACTGTAGGCAGACGTGGCTTGGTGTCCCTGTCTTAGGCGCCGTTGCAACGGGGGGCTGCTCTTCTTGAAGGCAGCCGTGACCACTTGTAAAGAATTTCAGTCTAAAACTAAAACTCCGTCAACTCTTGCGGTGCATTTAAATTTTTTCCCAGGCTCGTGTGCGTCGCAAGTGCTGGCGGATGTTCCGCTGAGGACACAAAAGTCGAGGGGGGAAAAAAAAAAAAGCGTTGGTGTTGAAGTGAAGCAAAATTAAAAATGCTGCTACCAAAACTTAGTGTCCTGAAATTTAACAATGTCTTGCAGGATCTTGCAAACAGCGTTTTACAGCGATATGTAAGTCAATTGATGGCGTAAGTTCGGGACAAAAACGTGCTGTAGCCACCGCAGCGATGTGATTCCTACAGACCGTTGGATTTCTTCCAGGAATGTGTCAAAGCTCGGAAAGCAATGTGGCTCGGTCTCATTGTGTACAGGAGATTATTTGATAATCATTTAAGTTATGTAAAAGAGTCTATGATAGGTCCTATAAAAATAAAGCTACACAATAGATCTTAGATCTGTGGTTGTTACTGCTGTTGAAATGCAGCGTTCAAGGGGCTTTCACTGCGCCTCCGTCCTCTGTAATGGTTTCTTGGCAGGAGTTAAGACAGGCACTGGGTTTTGTCTTTCCTAAATCTTTTGAAATGCTGTATTTTACCCACAGCGACCCGTGCTTGTTTTGCCTTCATTTGTACCGGCTGTTCCTTTAACTTACTAGAAAGAAGGGAATGATAATACGTTACAAAGCCAAGGGATGAAAATTGTTACAGTTATGAAAACAGATCAAAATACTCGGAGGTTTCCTATTGAGATGCGAGTCTTAAAAGGCAATCCTGCAGTCTGGCTCCCCGCCAGTAGCGAGTGGATTGTTTGTTTTTGTAACGGGACCCACATACGGATCAGCCTGAGGTTTTACCCTCGGCCGCGACAAATCCTTGTGCCTTCTGTCTTTTAAAAGATAAAGTGAAAGGTAAAACAGCTTTCTTCATACATCAGCCTATGTTTAACTTTAAAGAGACTCGGAGTCAAGATGTTGGGATGTGTGTGGAGAAGCAAGATCTTTTGAAAATAAACCGTGAGATAATTTCTTTTGGAAATTGGCTTAATTTTACTTCTAAGCAGCAAGAGCTGTAATTTACGCTGCCTCTTTCCTCCTGAAAAGCTGCCCAAGCTCTCCACAAGCTGTATGGAAAGGAACCACCATGGATGAATGTCCACAACACTCCAGTGTCTAATAGCTGAATGCTTCTAAGGAAATGCTCTTTTCAAGTATGATTTTGTTGTAGTTTATTTAAGCTTCACAAGTATGAGAAACAACGGGCGGCCAGTCCAGCCAAGGTAGCTACAAATTAGGTTAATTCTGCCCCGCTGCTGGTTTTGATGACAGGACAGTGTCCTACTCTGTGAACTCAGTCCTGCTTTCTTCACTTTGGCAAACTTCCCAGGGAAGACGGTATGAGTTTGCATCCACAAGCAGCCGCTCTGCCAGGTCCAAGCAGAGCTTGTGTATAACTATGTTTTAGATTATCCAGACAACTGGGGGGTTATTTCAGTTGGACAGGTGGGTTTGGTGGGTTTTTTGTTTGTTTGTTTAGCAACTGCTTCAATTCATGTGAATTTGTAGCACATACTGGTAGCTGCTTGGAGTATTTCAGCTCAGTGGTGCTGCACTAATGTATCTTATAACAGTTTTCTCACCTGAGCTGTGTGCCTGGGATCTGCGCTTTTGGCAGGCCAAGCAAATGAAGGGGAAGCTGATAATGCTCTGGTCTCTGCTAAGGAAAGAAAACACCTTCTTTCACTTAAGATTTCACTAAGCATTTTATTTACTTCTCAAGGTCAATATGCAAATATGTATTAACCAGGACTCTAATCCTGGAGACCTTACAGCCCATCAGCCATCTCACAGACGTCAGTGAGACTGCTTAAAAAAATTCTGAAAGAGGTCTTCAGGAACAGACTTTGGGACAGGCTGGGTAGACGTTGCAAACCTGAGTGGTTTGGTTGCCCACAGGCCTCACCTTTTTATTACAAGTAGTGTGAAATGCCACAAATCTGACCTGCCGGTGGCATTCACTCATTTGTGGTGCTCTGCTCCCTTGTAGATGGTGACATATGGTGCTCAGAAGCTGAGCATCATCAGCCTTCTTGGGTGAGATCTTGTCTCAAACCAGTGGGAGAAGCAGCTCTGTGGGTGTCAGCTGGGCTGGGCTGGTATAAAAGTGGCGTGGCAGCCTGCTCCCGATGCTGCCAGGCTGGGAGGGTTCTTGCAAAAAGTTGGGGCAGGCTCCAGGAGTCAGCCTAACTGAGCAGCAGCTGCAGATGTTGCTTCAGTTTAGCCTCTATTGTGCAAAAGTTCCTTAAAGGAGGATTTTCAGTTTGTAGGAGCTTCACTGGGAAAAAAAAAAAAAAAGTCTAAGTATTCTTCGAAGTACTGCTGCATTTCTGCCAGAGGGTGTATTTGAGGAGTACCTGCTATGGGAAGTCTGATAAGGCTGGAAAGGAGCTAACAATGGCTGGGTCGATCTCGGCAGCTTTTCCCACAGCAGAGGCCAGACAAAGGACTTCTGTACAACCTGGGAGGAGCAGTGGAGCTCCTCTCCCCGCTGCGGAGGAGGCACCGCTACCAGACCAGGGATTGCCATCTAGCGGAGCTGCATCCTTTATCTTCTTTGTGCATGTGTGGGCTCTTTTTGTTGCCCTTGTTGCCCCCAGTTGAATAGTGCAGGCACTGAAAATGCCACATGAGCGTCTCACTCAGAAACACCCTTGGGAAATTGCTTTCACCGCTGAAACACTGAAGAGCATCATCTTAAGCATCTGTAAGAATAAAACCTTTTGTAAACGAGCAAGATATTTTGGTTTATCTGGTGCACTTTTACGAGGAGTTTGTCCCTAGGAACTAAAGCCGAGCCTTTTCAGCTTTTCTGTCTTAAAAGAAGTGTGTCTCTTTGAATGGAAGGGGGTTCTGTTTGGTTGGACCAAGATCAGACTATCAAACTAGTTTACAAAGTCTGCACTGAGTTCCTCAAATACACTAAACTCCATTTTGTTGCTGGTGTATTTTACACATATTATCTGATTTTACAGGACATTTTGGTGGAAAAGCATGTACATCTTAGTAACTTTTCATGTGCTGTCAAGGATGATAAAGGGGAATAACAAGAACCCTGTGTTCTCTTTTTAAGTGAGTGAATCTTACCTTTCCTTAACAGTGACTTGCTGATCAATAACAAAGAGTTCACCATGAATAGTTATTACTATGTCTCAGTATTTTGTGACTTAAACGTTCTGGGTCTTTTCCAAAGCTGCTTCAAGAAAGCAGAACGATTCCTTTATTCTCTTTGAAACAGGCTCACTAACTATTTAATGACCTGACCATGAGATTGCTCTCATCATACAACCTGACCATCGATGATGAGTCGTCTTCGATGAGCTTAGGTAGTTGTTCAAACAATGTTAGTAAAAAAGACACAGAAGTTTATTGTAAACTCTTTTTGTTTTCTGACTTTCTGAATAAACTGCTTTTGGCAACAGTGCAAAATCTGAAGGTCATTCTGCAGTTACTGGCAACAGGAGGAAAAAGGTGGTAGAGCAATTCTGTAGTGATGTGCACACAATTAAGATGGAAGTGTGAGAGTTCAAGCCTACAGACCAGACTATATGAAATGAGAGTTGGGAATGCTTTTAGGATAGTTTTATATTGACTGAAGACTGCAGCCTGCCCTCTCTGCAAATAAACTCATCTCTCATTTTTAAGATTGGTAAACACTTGTTTAAAATCCAGTGGTTTTTGTAACACGTCTACGTAAAAGAGTAAAAATAGAGTGTATTGCAGTGACACCCCCCCCCCCCCC